TTTTTTTTTATATATATTTTTCATATCAATATATATATATATATGTAATGTTAATATGTAAATGTTAATATATTTATATATATATATATATAAATTTGTCACTCACACGGATTCACGTGTGCATTGAAATATTTTTCTAATGACGATCGATTTTAGTTTATTTTTTAACCAGAGCTACGTAAACGCCTCCTGGGAACTAGCTAGAACAAAGTTGCATTCACAAGTTGGCGAACGATGCTAGGCCAGCTTGATTATTTATTTATGGAGTCTACCATCAAAGGTAGAACGCATGTGAGACTACCCACGTTTATGCACAACGCAAGTTTCTCTTTTTCTTCCGCGAGCTTTCATATCTAATATAGTAACGGTTCCATTCATACCAACAAAATAGATTTGATTTTATAGTAAGTACATATACACACATGCGTACATGTCAATATTTCTTTTTTTTCCTCTCTTTGTGTAACTTTGTTTATTCTTTATTCGCTTTTCATTTTATCTATATATTCTAGCTCATTCATTTTTTTTTTTTTTTTTTAACATTTCATTATAATCGATAATGAAACTCCTATTATCTGAAAGTTTCAATTTAATATATTTAATAAATTTTAAGATTCAATAAGATCACCAAAAAGAAATGCAATTAACAAATGCATGTGTTTGTTGATTGTAACATGTTTTCTCAAATCATGAAATTCAACTTTTAGACAACCATCCTCATTTTCTTTTCTGCATTGATCTTCAGACAATACTTTGACCTTACGATAATTATTATTATTAATTATCATCTAAAAGTATTTTAAATATATAATCTAGGATACGTGTATTATCGTACACGTATTATTGTGTGAAACCGTCTTTAGTATTAAATATGTAATTTACAATTAGCTTTCGAATGAACGTCGGCCTTGATACAGTAACCTACCTGCTCATATAAAAAAAATGTCGCTAACAATTGAGTACTGCTCGGCTATTGTTCGTACGTGACGAAGACGTAAGAACTAAGATCCAAGTATTTTTCTCTCTATCTCTTTCTTTATTTCTTTCATTTTCTTTCGTTTCCTTTCTCTTTCTCTTTCTTTCACTCGTTCTTTCATTTGGCCTGCTTGACTCGCTACATTTGCCTAACGGTATACTCTTGAAATATTGCCAGCAACGATAAACGCCTACGCTTTTTACTTGATACAACACTGGTTAGGAAAAAGAAGAATATGAAATGGAATTACAAAAAAAAGAAAAATACTTGTATAAAGAAGAAGTTTTTATTTAATGCATGATATTCATTACGAAAAACAAAAGAATAGAAAGGATAATATATACATAACTTTTTTTTTTTTATTAGAGAAAATTAAAAAAGAAAAAAAGAAATAACCCGTTTATAATTAAAAAATTAATATAAATATCAAATAATGTTTCCAAATAATTCCAAGTTCTGAAACTTAAGAACTTTTCAAATTATTTGAAAATCTTGTTAAATAAAATTAAATATATATATATATATATATATATATATGTGTGTATATATAAGAAATATTATTTAAAACAGTGCACCTGAATAATTCGATTGGCTATTGGTGATAGAAACAAATGTACTAGGTTAAACTTACCTGGTTTCGAAAGTGGCATAATCCCTCGTTAATCATTTTTTTATAGGTTGAAATTTAGAGGATATATGAAAGTCAACTCCGATTTTTTAAATAGTTTGAGCTATGCTAGGCTATTTATTACTACCCTTTTATCACTTTTTACCACAGAAAAATAATATTAAAAAATAAGTAACATAGTA